TAAGAGTAGAAGATGCATACCTGACCTTAGAAAATACTCTCTTTAAGTACACTTAAGTTATCTTTTATTTCTTTAATGTATTTTATCTGCAAGTACAGTTTTTTTTTAAATACATAAGTACACTACAAGTGCACATTCAAGTCATCAAACATCACTCCCAAAGAATGATGTCAGTATAACTTTAAATTATAATTAATTTAAAATGCAAATGGTTTTGTTTTGTTTTATTTTTAATCTTACAGTCCAGCACTGGCAAACCACAAGAATCTGACCTTTTCTTAGCTGACGTCATCTCCTATTACGTGCGTATGGGACAACAGCCGGTGTACTTCAACATGTACTACATTAAGGTGAGAATGAATGCCCTTTTGTACTGTTTTACGTAATTAGTTTTTTTCAGCTATAATGGCATGAGTTTCAGGTGTAATTTAGTCACCAAGTAAGTTTGCATGTAGAAGAAACACGTTTTTTTTTTTTTTTTACTCTGAAGTTTGCAATAAATATGTTATACACAAATAAGCATAAAAGATGTGAAAGCAGTATAAAAAGAAGAGAAAGTACTGAGCCACAGTTCAAGCTCAGAAGGTCAAGCTGTTTAAGTCCTTATTTAAGCTGTTGAATGATCTACAGAACACTTTTTGAAATATAACATACCATTCTTGTTTTTATTTTATATTCTATTTTTTGCAGATTTACTTTTCCAACAAGTCCAAAGAACCTGTGGAAGAAGTTTTTGTCACAGACCTGGAAGTGGATTTTCCAGAGTTTAGAAAGGCCCAAGCTGCACATAAAGGTATTCAATAAACACATTTGGGATAAGTACAGCCATTGCCACCCCAAATTTAGGCCAGCAGTTCATTCAGCCAATATTTACAGGCAACATTCTTTCCTTAGACACTGTCAAACAGAGGAAGATGCCTGCCGAGCTTTGTGGAGCACTGATCTCGTTTAGCTACTTAAAAGTAAGTATCACTTATGCTGTCTTTGTTGTTATCAGAGTATTTTTCATGTACCTTGTCACATGCAATACGACTGGTGTTGCTGATTGGTCGGTTTTCCAGTCAGTGACGTTCTTAAGTCACAAAGAAACATTCAGGATTTTTTTCTAGAATTAAAAATTAAGTGACCAGCAAATTTAGTTGACCTCATATGGCCCTTCACATTCCTTTTAGGTGTCGCTAAGCAACAGGGAGGTTGAGAGAGGGTTCTCACTCAGAACCACAGGCGCCCAGATTTCAGCAATACCACAAAACAAAACTGAAGGTAAAGTTACATGATTTGACTGAAAAGGTATTTGTTTTTGTTAATCAGTTTAGATAAACATTAACTTCAACCTGAACAATTTTAAATAAATCACTATTTTACTTCCCACTTTGTAGATCTCAACTGTCTCATGGTCACTTTCAGTGACACAAAGCCAAAGAGTATCACGGTAGGTCTGGCTAAGCCAAAACTGTAAAAAATTAGAAAAGTACATACTTTTCTTTCTTTTCTTTCTTTTTTTTGAAAACATATTTTTTATATATTTTAGTATCTATCTATCTATCATCTAGACAGTCTATCTAGACAGACAGACAGACAGACAGATAGATAGATAGATAGATAGATAGATAGATAGATAGATAGATAGATAGATAGATAGATAGGGATAAATAATCTGTTTGTATGGTTTTTTTAAAGGGATGGTTGATTGCGATTTCACTTTTTTAACGTTAGTTAGTGTGTAATGTTGCTGTTTGAGCATAAACAATATCTGCAAAGTTACGAAGCTGAAAGTTAAATGCAAACGGAGATATCGTCTTTTAAAAGTCTGGCAGTTTAATGCCTACAAAAACGGCTCGTAGGGACTACAACGAGCTACTTCCCGGGTTAGTGATGTCACAAACCCTGATAAACCCCGCCCCCGGGAAAATGCAACAATGGGGGCAAGGCCATGTTGCGCTGCTTTAGAGAAGAGGAAGAAAAAACTAGGGGTGACATAGCTATGAGAAGCGTTATACATGGACGTGCGTGCAGTTGCCGTACTGTATTAAAGCTTTAATCAGGATAAAACCCGTATATTAAATGCTAACAGAAGCAGTAGCATTTACAAATAACAGCATATCTAAAAGTATGAGACAACAACAAACAAAAAACATACCATTAAGAGCCGTGCTTGCACAGGTTCTGCGCGATCTTCTTCACTAATATTCTCTGGGTCTCAATCGGGCTCGAAGCAATATAGACGACGTCATTGTTTACAATACAACCGGAGCACATGCTGCTGAGGCAATAGGAGAAGGGACAGAGCGGTGTGGAATAAAGGTAAATTATGTGAAAAATAATGTTGTTTTTTTTTTAAACGAAGTATTAACACATTAGACTGCACCCCATAAACACAATCAAGCCTAGAAAAAAAAACAGTCAACCACCCCTTTAACTCTCTACTTTTATGTTGTTGGATTGTAACTGTGAAGCGTTTTAGCTTGGCTGTCATGAGAAGTAAATGCAACTTATATCTGATTAAGTTCAGATATTTATGCTGTGATTTGTTTCATTTTTTAGGAGACAAAAATCAGAACATGCAATTTTAAATTGAAGACGCCAGACAAATCAACTTTCACAGTACGTTTGGACAAAGACTTTCGTAGGAAATTTATGAACGTTGAGAGGTGAGAAATCAGTGCTTTTTCTGCTCATGTTATCATTTTAATTAAGAGGTTCATTACCTACACTACCATTCAAAAGTGTGAGGTTGGTAAGATGTTTTAGTATTTTGGAAAGAAGTCTCTTATGCAGCCCTATACCAAGGGCTATACCATATATTTTATTTGTTCAAAACACAGTGAAAACAGTGGTTCTTCAGATTATAAAAAGGTAAGAAAGAAATGGTTCTTTAAAGAACCTTTGACTGAATGGTTCTTTATGGAACCAAAAACGGTTCTTCTATGGCATCGCTGTGAAGAACATTTATTTTTAAGAGTGTATTGTAAAATATTATTACTATTTCAAATAACTGCTTTTTAATATAATTAAAAATATAATTTATTCCTGTGATGGCAAAGCTAAATTATCAGCAGTCATTACTCCAATCTTCAATGTGACATGGTCCTTCATATATCATTAAAATACGTTGATTTGCTGCTCAAGTAACAGTTTTTACTATTGTCACATTTCAAAAGTACAGCATATTATTTGTAATAGAATTTTTTGTAACAACAAAACAATTTTGCTGTCACTGTGCTTGTAACCCTCCAAAGAGAAAGGAAAACTTGAAATCGCATCATATGACCCCTTTAATGTATCTTTGCAAAATAAAAGTATTACGTATGAAAAAAAACTCTTACTGACCCCAAACTTTTGAACAGTAGTGTACAGTATTCTTACAAAAATTTGATTAACTTGATTTAAATAATAATTAAGACATATAATTAGAATAAAGAATAAAACATGCCTTCTTCTGGTCTTAGAGTGATACAGATTAGATGAAACATTGATTTCTTTGCATTGTTCTATATTTTCTAACACAGCATTGAGGTTGCTCCATGTCGAGACCCTGGATATTACGTTCAAAAATCCTTGAAGTCAAAGTTCATGGCAGAAGGTAATAGTGATGCTGGACTGAGCAAATACATGAGCAAAGGATTGACTCTGCCCATTAACACATTTGCTGGAATAATCGACTAAATGAACAAGGATCGGGATGGAGGCTGCTAGCTGTCAACATAAAGGCCAGTTCTGAACTCTTGCAGTATGTGTATTGTGTTTTAAACAATGCACTGTGCAGTAGTGTCGCCATGTGATCAAATGATCAGCTAAGACACTTCACCAAGCAGGTTTTACTGCAATATATACTTTTATCTGTGAATCACAAGTTGATCGGTCCAGGAAGTATTTTAATGTGTAACACAGCTAACTCACTAACACTAATGCAGGCATGGTATTGAGTTTCCCAAAGACGTAGGATTTACTTGAACTTGTTTTCTGCTTTAACAATCAACCTGTTCCTTAATATGTACACATAGAGAGAATTCTCCACACACTGCCAGGCTTTCATCTGGATTTTCCAGCAAAAAATCAGAGTAACTGTTTATTACAGTATAATGCAGGTGCAGTGGTTAGTATGTCTGTATAACATAAAATATATGCCATATGACCAAGTGTTTCAGAGAAACTGACATTACCTTAATGATTTGCACTTCTTTGATACATTCTTTGTTTTATGCTTTTATTTTTATCCCACTATACATGTTTACAAATTTAGGACCTTCCATAAGAAGGTTTTATAGCATCAAAAAAATGTTTAAAATTAAAAAGCATAAAGGATATGTATTTTAATTACTGTCTATGAACAGCACTATTGTTACACAAAAGGTTCAAGCTTTGAAAGGTTGTGTTGTGCATTAAGCTGGTCAAGAGTCAAAGTCTTTCTTTAACACAATAATTAGTGGTGCGAATATTTTAATCTTCCTTACATCAATCTCTGTACATTCTGATTTATATTTTGGGGTTCTTTTCCAGCGGTTCTGATCTGATGCCAATAATCTCAGTCTTCCGGTTATGCCAGGCATTTATTTTAAAGAACAAACATGATCACAATAATATGATTATCCAACCTAATTCAGTTCTATTTATTTTAGATGTATGGCATTAATTTATGCCAAACGTGATTTGACCTCTTGTTTTGTAAATATTGTGATTTGATTTTGTAAATAAATATGCTAAATAAATGTAGCATTTTCAAATTATTGCAACAAACTTGAGTCCAGATTTATTAACACAGTTACGATGTTTAAAACTTTTAATTTTTATAAAAAAAATTTTTTTTTTTTTTTTTGAAGAAGAATAAGCATTAGGAAATAAACTTGAAGGTACCCTGACGGCACAAAAATGTTGTTGTTGTTGTTGTTGTTGATGATGATGACCACAAGATGTCGTCAAGGAGTCAGGAATAGCAGTGTAATTTCTGCCGCTGCGTAATGATGTCTAGTTATCCACAGCCGTCGCTATTTTCCTCAGCAACGAGAACCGCTGGATCTGCAGCATTTTTTTTAGCGAGCTCTCTTGCTTTGCCTGTCTCAACTAAGTCAGGATATTCGTAGAAGATTAGGCTTCAGTGGAGTGTGATGGATGAAAAGCGCAGAGCATCCTGTCAGTATGGGTCCCTGAAATGCACGAAATGGAAAACAGATGTGGACCAAACAGGTATCCCTACACCTCTCTGTATCAAAACCTGTCAAAACGTATTGGTGAAAGGTATAGTAGACTATCACACACTTGCATTCTCTTCTCCATTGGGGTTTGTGCAGATTGAATGTCACAGGTGGAACTTCTGCTGCTGTAAAGAATGAGTTCAGCTTGAAAAGTGTTATGCTGAGATCTGAAAACAGCCGACTCTCATAATTTAGCCATTAATAACTTAAATGCTCTACATGGAGATATATTTTGTGTAGACTGCATGCTGTGGTGACTTTGAAATGGAAAGGAGATTCAGGATAGAAGAACATGCCTTTTCCAGAGCTTTTGTGGAGTTTACGGTGTCATACTGGCTTTATTGCATTTGCTAAAATGCTCTCGCAGAACAGCACCTTCTGCTGCTTTCAGAAGCTCAGTTACTGAACCTTAATAATAAAGTTTTGCAAAATAAACTTATGGAGATCATCCGGGTAAAGCAACTGTGGTCCATTCAAATCAATTCCAGGGCTTCATTATCGAGGGGTGAGAACCAGAAGGGCGTAAGTGACATTTTGGGTGAAATGGAGATATAAAAGTATACTGTCATCCATGAGTGTACAAATTTTTATTATAAATGATTGAAATCAGTGCACAAAATCAGATCAAACTATGCTAAATTTTTGTTTTGGCCCTCCTGTAAAGTTGGTGAAATGTCACTTACGCCTTTCTGGTTCTCACCCCTCGTTATCAACTGTATAATTAAAAATAAAGTAACTATAATTAATAATAATAATATTTTTTTCACAGAAAAAGACTGTAAAAATTCTACAATAAAAATCTGTCAATTTGTTAACTGTTAGTTATCTTACCACATGGTGAAAAATTGTACTTTTACTGTAAAACGCAGTCAAATTTAGGGTTTTTGAAAGTAAGAACTATGAGTTTCCATGTCATTTATGGTGAAAAAGAATTAAAATAACATTCCTGGAAGTCCCTGCGTGACACATCACAAATTTTATTTAAATGTTTTTTTCTTTCTTTTATTCTTCACTTGTTTTTATTACATGTCTAACCAAGAAATTCCTTTTGCAGCACTTACTGAGTTCTTCTATGCACTGTACCACATTAATTCTACTGCTTTCTCACTCAGTCGAGCACATTTGAATGATTTTCCTTTATGAATGCCTAACCTGACATAAAAAGCCTCAATGCTTCAGTGGAGTTGTTAACTTGCACATGAAGGAGCAACTTGCCTCTTGGCACTGATTTTTGAACAGCTCTTTTCGCAAGAATATTTGATTTAAATGTTCTAGTGTCATCTTAGATCAGTACCTGTCCTGAAGAAACACTTATTTATTTAAGATCAATATTAGTTTTAAATTTAGGTTAAAAATATATGAAAGTATAAAGGGAAGTATGTATTTTAGGTGCTGGTCAACATTTTTTCACCAAATTTTATTTAAAATTGTTAAATGGTCTGACAAAAAAAAAAAAAAAAAGCTGCTGGAACAGAGAAAAAAAAATCTCCAAATGGCCAAATATTGGCTGATTAATTACCCTTACCAAAAAGTAGTGTACTTCAAGTTTATTTTATTAAGTATACTTAAGTAAAGTTCAAGTATATTTTTAAGTATACTTTATGTAGCAAGTATACAAATATCAGTGTAGTAGTAGTATACTTGTAAGTGTACTATTTCAATACTCCTTGGGACTAAATTGGCCCACTTTCTAGTATATAAAAGTATACTTTTAAGTATACTTTAAGTATAACAGTAGTAAACTTTAAGTACACAACTAGTTTACAACAATATTTTTAGCTTGTACTGCAACTATACTGTGATACGGTTCAAGAGGGTGGAAGGAAGACAGGGTCGGCGTACTGGGACGCGAGCTTTATTTAAAGTCTCTGGGTGCACACAACGGAAAACGGCGCTCACTGCGCTTTCAATCTCTCAGTCAATAACTCATAACACAACTCGACTATGTTTCGTGCTCCAATAACCCGTCTCCCCGGGTGGCTCGCGTTCCCAGTCAGTCTCCTCTCTATACATGCTCCAGGTGGCCCCTTTTATCCGGTCTCTCCGCACCAATTACTGAAACGAGACACAGGTGTTTGTCATTTGCGCTTGACGTACTTACGCACCGCTCGTCTCCTGCCTCTCTCTCCCGATGCAGACCTCGCTGAACCACGCCCCCCTCGCCACATACCCCCACCACCCGACTCAGGCCGGGGAGACCTCCGAGAATTTGAAGGGTTGCAATGCTAGATACCAACGGGTGATCCGCGCGTTGGTATCCTTCATGCGGTGGAGCCAATGCAGGGGCGTGTGGTCCGAACAGAGGGTGAACTCCCGTCCCAGGAGATAATAGCGGAGGGTGAGGACGGCCCATCTGATCGCCAGACATTCCTTCTCAATGGTGCTGTACATCGTCTCCCTCTTTGAGAGCTTCCGACTGATGTACAGCACCGGCCGTTCCTCCCCCTCTATCTCCTGGGACAGGACCGCTCCCAGCCCCCTGTCCGACGCGTCAGTCTGCAATAAAAAGGGGAGAGAGAAGTCAGGGGAGTGAAGGAGCGGCCCGCCACACAGAGCAGCCTTTACCTGGGTGAAAGCCTGCTGGCACTGCTCCGTCCACTGGACCGGGTCTGGTGCTTCCTTTTTAGTGAGGTCAGTCAGCGGGCTGGTGAGGTCCGAATACTTAGGTACAAACCTTCTATAATATCCCGCCAGCCCCAGGAACTGCCTCACCTCCTTTTTGGTCTTGGGTCTCGGACAGGTCGCAACTGCTGCCGTCTTATCAATTTGGGGACGCACCTGTCTGTGACCCAAGTGGAAGCCCAGATACCTTACCTCCACACGCCCAACCGCACACTTTTTCGGGTTGGCCGTCAGCCCGGCCTCCCTCAGCGATCTCAGGACCGCCCGCAGATGCTGCATATGCCGCTGCCAGTCGTTGCTATAAATCATAATGTCATCCAAATAGGCAGCGGCATACGCAGCATGTGGCCGGAGGATCCGGTCCATGAGCCGCTGAAAGGTGGCCGGGGCCCCGAACAACCCGAAAGGAAGCGCTACGAATTGGTGTAATCCAAACGGCGTGGTGAAGGCCGTCTTTTCTTTGGATATTGGTGATAAGGGGATCTGCCAATATTCCTTCGTTAAATCCAGTGTCGAGTAAAATCTAGCAGCACCCAGCTGATCAAGCAATTCGTCAACTCGCGGCATTGGATACGCGTCGAACTTCGACACAGCATTAGGCACTAAAACTATCGGGCTCGCCCAATCACTGTTGGATTCCTCTATTACTCCCATATCTAGCATTGCCTCTAATTCAGTCTGAACTACTTTTTTTTGTGTTCAGGCAGCCGATACGGCCGGCTGCGCACCACCACGCCCGGCTCGGTCTCAATGTGGTGCTGGATGAGGTCCGTGCGACCAGGCAGGGGCGAGAACACATCTGCAAACTCGGCTTGCATCTTGGCTACATCAGTGAGTTGGGAGGGCGAGAGGTGATCTCCTCCCGGGGCCAGAGCAAGAGATTGACTTTTGGTGTTCACTTCTGGCCCGAGATCTTCCTCTCCGCTCACCGCCATCGTCAACATCACTGATTCCACCTCGCTCCATTTTTTAAGGAGATTCAGATGGTAAATCTGATGTGCTCCGCTCCTGTCTGAGCGCACTACGTCATAATTGAGATCTCCAACCCGCCGTGTGACCTCAAAGGGTCCTTGCCACTTATTGAGATCTCCAACTCGCCGTGTGACCTCAAAGGGTCCTTGCCACTTGGCGAGTAATTTGGAACTAGAAGTTGGGAGTAATACGAGTACTTTCTCTCCCAGTGTAAATTTGCGCAATCTGTCTCCCCTGTTGTACAACTGGCTTTGTCTGCCCTGAGCCTGCAACAAATTCTTTGAGGTCCTTGTAGACCAGGAGGTTCTGGACCGGCAGCTGTTGTGAGGCAACCTGCGCTTCCCCCGACAGCAAGGGGAATGAGCCGCACTGGCCAGTCCTCCTCGGGCCACCCCCGGCCTCTGCCGACCTCTCAAATAGGTCCAGGAACACCTCCGGGTCGTCCTGGGGACCCATCTTGTGGAGAGGCACATGGGCGGGTGGTGCTGGGGCTGATGTAGGTCCCGCAGCCCGAACCTCCCGGTCAACCCAGCTCCGGAACAGCTCGCGGTCTTCCTGCTGGGCTTGAATGAGGGCTCGGAACCGCCGCTCCTGATCGTCCCTCAGGCCCAGCAGTGCCTGATGGTGCTCCTGGG